CTTTTCATAATCCACAAAGTGATTATCCACATATAATATTTTTTGCTTAGAATAATTTCTCAAATATGTTGACAATTTTGTTGATTCTTATAAATATTTTATAATGAAATTCAAAGCTTGACATAAATGAAAAATTCAAGCAATGCGATGGATTCGATCATTACATAATTTATATAGAAAAATAACTTCTGAAATTCAAGCGGAAACAGATTTGAAAAACTAAAAGCAAAAGTTGAAAAAGTAAAAGAGGTTTTCGTCGGTTAAATCGCTTCAAGCACCTGCTGTGTCACGAGTTACATTTCGAGCAGTCGGATATCGCGATGAGTGGCTCGTAAATCCTCGAGTTCACTTCACTGACACCGATCACTGACGATGACGACTGTGTTATTGATGATAATAATGAAAAACAACCATCAAACATATTAAAACATCTAATGGCATATTTACAACCGTATATTCTTCGCATTGGAATCACGTTTCTTCAATTTATTAGCTATTAACAATTTTTACAATTAATATATAATTCTTTAACGATGAATTTAACATTTTTCACCCAGATCTATGACACATTGGCTAATCAGTTCTAAGTTTTTATATTATACCAATTTTAATTTTTTATCGTGCCTTTGACCCCAAATCTGTTGATTAGATATTAATAAATTTGAAATATGTCGTAAAGGAATCTTCATTTTTAATAACTTTTTCTTTTACAGGTAACTAACAATCGATTTTAATTTTTGACTTATTCAAAATTTGCAAAAAATTTTCGATATTATTATCATTGAAATCTGCTTATATGTATGCAAGTTATTAATTATATAATTTATATAAACATACAAAAGCGCTCGATGACCTACATAGGTCGAGTGAGTTCGTTAAATTAGTTTGTTAAATTTTTACAAAAAACTCGAAAAGTAAGATCGATCGTCAATTATCTGCGAATGAATGAATTATGCGTGAATGATGAAAAAGTTTTTGAAAATGACACCTATATACCAAAATTATATTCAATATTTTTATAACAATTTTTTATTGCGCTTGTTTATATAAATTTTCTGGCAAATTTCAGTACAAAATTTCTTCTATAATTTGATCGATAAAAGAGATCTGAGAAAATTGATTGATATATAAAAAAATTGAAAATTGATAACCTGGCTACAATGACAGTAATTGTCTTCGAAGTATAACTAAGGAAGAGAGAGGAGATAATATCGTTCTTGATGATGTCATCTCGACGTCTCATCGCCATGCAACCGATCGGAAAAACGGATCCCTCTATATCCTCTGACGAAGCGAAAAACGTTCGATCGGTTGAAAATTACTTCCTGGAACGAGATACGAGGATAGACCGAGAAAAGCAACAACGATGAAATTGCTCAAATTTATTTCTCATTATTTCTGTCGGTTAACAGTTTACATATAAATGTTGCACACATCTGTTTCGATTATTTTTCACGAATATCTATTTGTCTTCTACTCTACAATTAGTTTTAAATGTTCCAGAAATTAAAAGTTAAGTTTAAATTACCGGTTAGAAAATTATTTCGTCGAAATGTGAATGAACAATGTGGAGTATCGTTTAATCTCATTTTATATTTCTTTTTCAATCTGTAACGTATGCGATTCGTCGAAAATTCGTTAAATTTTTAATTTATATATCAGAAATTTATAACGTGAAATTTTTCAGAGATGTAAGTATTCAAATATGTCTACTTTTCGATTTAATTTTATATTCAAATTTATCGGTTATTTTTAACTCAATATTATTATCCGTAAGTCATAGGAAATTTAATAATACAATTCAAGATTACGGGCAAATTATACATTATATAATATTATGATATGATATGATATCATCAAAATTAATGAATTGTTTATATTGTAGATAATTATTATTTTTTAATAATCTTAATATAAATATATTTTAATCCATTAAATATAATAATAATAATAATATGCAATATTATTGAAAAAGGAGAATAATTTATCTATTTATTAATTAAAATTTCCATAATTTAAGAAATGTATATACTTTATGTATATATGTATAAATAATTTAATTCTTTCAATTTTTTAAAGAAAAAAATCATTACAAAACGGTATTAAGCAAATTAGAAGTTTACAATTGTTAATTTAATGTTAATCAATATTGGATTAATAAATTTATATATTTATGTTATACATAAAAATAAATAAAATCTAATAACTTATGAACTAATTTAGGAATAATTTATGCTCCAATTTTTTTTTTTACGATTTTTTTCCAAATGTTAACAATGATATAATATATTAAATTGAGTATAAAATACTAAAAGAAAAACATCATAAAAAAATTATAAAAAAAATGAGCGATTGTTCGATTTGTCGAGCAGAAAAGTTTCATTCACATCTAATCCTCTTAATGAATTCGTGATGTCGAATACAATGTCGTCGTCAAGCGGCTCCTCGTCAAATCCTCGAGAAAACGAACGATTCATCAACTCGATGAATCCATTTCCGACGATAAATCACTAATGTAATAATCGAGCAACTTTTCAGACAATTATCAAAAATGATGATGAAACTATTAATTTTATCGTTTCTTGCATGCGTTCGCAAATTCGAGAGGGTATAATTTCTTCTTTACGACTCGTGTTTAATTATACATTGCATTTGTAGTAGAGTCACCAATAATCGCATACACAAGATCCTACCGTGCAGTTTTCTTCACGGCACGACTACATAATTATCAATTACCTAACTCGTTAAGTGGAACCTTTTGACACATTACTCCGCAGACCTTTGCGTGTTCCGCAAACGTCCGTCCACCGTTATCTAATTTCATCGGAACGATTACGTCGACCTTTCGATTTTCTATCTGGAATATCGTTCCCGTTCAATCGACAAATTTCAAATGATTTCAAACTGACCATTTCGAAACTTTCCATTCTCTTTCGTTATCTGCGTTTAACAACGAAGATAGTATTATTTATAATTATCATTTTTATTTAAATTTTAGAATTTTTATTTTATTTTCGTTTAAAGGATTTAAAACCAGTTGTTTTTTATTATCGTTGAAATAATTAAAATAATCGAAATTAGCTGAAATTAACGGCTAGACGAAGAAAAAAAATATCAAAAGATTCGCGTGGCAAGCATAGCGTAGGCGCGGCGACATATGAAAAGGTTAACAGTGCCCCACATCGGCATTAATAAATGAACGTACAAGGATCGATAGACGGTCATAAATACGGGAGTTTCATACGGCACTAGTTGTACGTGCTGCTTTCTCATTCTATATATCGATGCTGTATTTTTAAACCAAGCCAAATCCATTTTTGATCGCGTCTATCCTCCGCTTCACGTGCGTCGGAACGAATTCGAAATTCAAACGGGAAGGACGCGACTTGGAAACGGAACTATCTGTGTTTGGAAACTCGAACACATTTCTAATAAAGTTGGAGAATAATTGAAAAATAAAGGGAAAATTTAAGACTTTTGCGACAGGACGTAATAAAGAAGATTAAAAAAAATAAAATAGAATAAAATACATCGATGCATCGTTGGCAATATCATGGCCCAAATTACAATAATTATTTCGCTGCGCGAAAGACATATGAGCCTAAAGCTTTTGCAAATGGATTATGGAAGCCCCAAGCATCGACCTGTCTGTCTATCTATCGAAACCTTGCAGCATGTTTTAATTGGTACAATGAACGCCTGGATATACAACGTTAAAAATATTTCAAAACTTCTTAAAGCATTCTTCCCGAAGAATATTGATTCTTCGTTCTTCTCGAAAATTTCTCTTCGCAATTACTTGTTCAACTATCATTCAACTACGATCGAAACCCACCACCAATTTACTTATAAGTTCTACTTATAAGCTAGTTCAAGGTATAACAGTCACGATTTTCTTCTTTATTCCTCTTTGTACTTTGTTGTGTAATGGAGAAAAAAAAAAAGAAGAAAACTCGACAACCAAATGTGAATTTGTAAACGAATGATAAATATTTCGAAAGAATTGACCGGTACACGCGTTTAAACCGTGTTGTCATCTTCGTGTTCCCGGACACAAAACCGACGTATCTAGGTTAAGTAACTAAATCAATCAACTCTGAGAAAACAGGACAACGCAATTAGCGACTCCGCTGCAAATCTGTCAGGTTTATAAAATCCCTAGGAAAGTACCTAGGCGCCCCGACCTTTTCGTTAATGCGATCAAAATGCCTCAAAGAAGAATTTTGTCCACCCTTTATCTGCCCGAACGAAAACGATTTGGAATAATTATTCGTAAAATTTCGTATCGATGTAATGGCATTATATCATTCCGTATTTTTCTTTACTCTTGCGAAGCCACGTAAGCGTTTCCTCTTTTATGTCGAAGATGTACGTTCATCGGGCAAAATAGATCGACGCCTATTGAAATTTTTCTTTTTTTTTTTTTTTTTTTTTTTTTTTTTTTGCGGTGTAAAAAGAGTAACAACGCAAGAAAAAAAAAGAAAGAGGAAAGAAGGAGGGGAAAAAAGGAATCGTTTCTATTCGCTTCGTTCAATGAGCGTCATTGTGTACACGATTCTGAACATTCTTGTCAGCTATAGATACGATTGATTTCTTGTTTCTACTTGTTGCGAAAAATATAACTTGGTATATTTAAATAATTGAAACATATATAATGATTGGATTCGTTATGTAAATATTATAATTGAATTAATGATGTTGAATAATCGAGTTTTCCATAATTTCAATTTAATTTTAAAGAACGTTTTGTTCGTTCAAATTTCTGCAGTTGCGTTTACATGTGTTTTCATCGTCGCAATTTTGAAATCGTTATTTAGATAATCGGATATCGATTGATGAAAAGAAAAAGAAAGATCGAAAGAAGAAACGATTGAACCGAAGAAGATCGAAATTTAAATTTTTCGAAATGTCCATAATTAAAATGATCCGCAAAAATCTAGTTTGCGATAACTTGGCTATAGATTCTGCTCTAACTCATCACTCTCGACTCTTTATTACAGCAGCTCCATTCAGAGTATAGGAGCACGTACACATGGCACGAATATACTGGGCCGCACCAGGAACAAGTTGTTCGTCGAGCACCACAACCCCCGCCGACATCGAGTAAGTCCACTCTATTTATTATTTAAGTCTATAAGTTTATATATATATATACATATTCTATTCACGATTTAGCGAAACCAGTCTTTTGATCAGTACGATCTAGTCTTTTAGCTATATCGTCGCATAGTAAATTTTGTATGGTGTTTGAGCAAATAGATTAAGAAGAATAGATTAAGAAGAATGAAGAGAATATTATTATAATCGGATTATACCGGAGAAAAAGGAAAGAAATAATGGATAAATTTTCTCAGGCATCCATACCATGCTGTTTAAAAGTTAATTGTTTCCATAAATTCATTAGAATCATACCAGCAATCGCGAGCGTGAAGAAACAGGATAAGAAAGTAGGAAAAATTATAAAACTTTTATTGGAATTATATCTCATGAAATTGTTTAAATAAGAAATGTTTTTGGGTTAACTTTTGGGTTAAAAATTAAAAGAAGTATTTTAATTTTTCAAATTCTTTTCATTGTGTGATTGGTGATAAAAATATCTTAGAAAAGAATTTAATCATGATGAATTATCCGAAAAATATCCGAGAAAAATATAAATGTTGTAAATAGAAGTAATAAAATAACAATTATATTAATAATACACGAGACTTTGTACAATGAAAATAAGAAGAAATTCACGCTCGTCTTACGCCTAAATGATTCGTTTTTTATCGATTTCCATTTTTCTCATGATATTTTCTCTTCCCCTTGTTAGTAATGTAAAAGGTGTTTTAGCGATTTTATTTCTTATTTTAATCATGCTACTATATAGTCATCATACATCTGGTCTCATTAATATCGCACACGCTCTGTCGTTTCACGTTTCACCTCCCGTTTTCACATCACCGCCATGTCTCTTACCTTCGTGACTCGTATAATCATATTACAATCATAAGTATGTATAAAATTTTGTTCCACTATGTCTGTTTTAATTATTATTACCAATTGCCACTGATTTTTCCAATAACGTGTATAATTTTTCTTCATAATATTGTCGATGTTGCGAATTGTTTTCACTCTTCTTTCCCGTTTTTTCTCCACCTTTTCATTTTTTGTTTTCTTCATTTATTCAACGTCTTTCTGAATATATATTATTTCTTAATGAAATAATATCCCTATAATATTCTATAACAATACGAGCCTCGAAATATTTGAGTCTGATTTCTCATTAGAAGAAAAACGTTCCATACATTCTTCAGAGCCGCGAATCAAAACGTCACGAGACACGTGTCCCTCGATCATGCAGAGTATCAACCCAATCACGGCAATCATGAGCTACCGTGAAAATAATTATCTACTCGATACTCGCTATCGGGTATCGATAGTGGTTGGAAATTTGCGAACGATTTACGTTCAATCTGGCAACGGATACTTTACTACCCGTATATATATATATTCTCGTAAATGTCGAATTGGTTTTCGCCCAATTTTTTTTTTCTCCGTTTCTTTTATCTTTTCTTCTTTTCTTTTTTTTTTTTTTTTTGTTTTTTTTTTGTTACAAAAGAAAGAAAAAAGACAAGCGGCATCGAAATCGAGACGGCCCCATTAGACTAGGGGATCGGAAAGGCGGGGGATACCGAAAATGAGCGAATTTAGCGAGAGAGAAAGGTAGACAATAAAGAAAAGAATAAGAAAAGTGAACGAAAGACAATCAAGGAAAAAAAAAAAAAGAGAAAAAAGGAATTGAGAAAAGAAAAGAAAAGAAAAGAAAAGAAAAGAAAAAAAAAAAACGAATACGGTGCCAGCTGCGAATTTTGATTGCAGCGAAGCAAGCGAGCGCGAAGCTACAATCGGCCAAGTCAACCGAGGATGAGAACAACGAAGGTAAGACGAACGATCGGAGCTACGCAAACATATAGATTATTATTATTATTATTATTAACGGTTTATTTCGCTCGTTTTAGCCCCTCTTTTTTAACACTTCTCGCAATAATAAAAAAAATCCCATTTTCGACCTTGCTCCACGTCTCTTTTTTTTTTTTTTTTTTTTTTTCCAATTCCAACGTCTGTCAATCCATCATCCCGTTTCCCCAGGGGAGACGGTAATCCAAAGTAATTAACCCTTCTAGAAGTAACTTTCCCTTTCGAAAGTCGTCGCCAGACACCTTCTTTCGTCATTCTCCGCCGATATTCCCGAGTTCCGCGAGTCGAAGGGTTAATATAAAGCATGCTTGCTTGCAGTTGACCAGACCATCTCCCAAGGCTTGGTTCGCATTTACATTTTCCATATATATATATATATACTGACGATTCACGTTCATGCCCTTCGGCATAAAGTATAACAAGTGGAAAAAGTATCGGTTGATTATTCTCGAACTATTTCTTTTTCGTGTTTGTAAACAGTTAGCGCGCGTCTCGAGGGCAAAACTGTGTGTGTTTTTAATAGAAAGTGGAAAGTTTATAGAAAACGACCTTCGAGCTTCGCGAGTTTGGGGAAGGATTGCACACACGATTCGAGCACAAGTGCGAACCAAATCTAAACGTTTCAATCTCCTCCCTGCGCTTGCTGTGAATTTTTTTACCGTAAATCTCGCGTGTATACTCTCATTTTTCCCATTTTGTCTCGGTGTTTGAATGCATCTATTGTGCGGACTGTGTTTAGGTTGCATCGACTATCTTTGTAACATTTCTCCTTTCTATCCGTTAAACCTTGTACACACAGGACTTCTTTTTACGTTAATCTGTCGCTCGCTGCGGCGTAATCGATCGTGGTACTTCTCTCGAGGAGTTGCATAGAAACTATTGTTTCTGTTGTACCAATTGCGAGAAGGGAGAGGAAAGAAACAGTAAAAAGGAACGTATTTCATCGAAAAAATTATTATTCGTCGAATCGAAACGAACACGAGATGAGCACTTTCTGCTTTTGATTTTTCTCTCTCTCTTTTTTTTTTTTTGTTCTTCATAAAAAAATACAAATATCAAAGGATGCTCGTTTCGAAGATACTTCATATTTTTTTTTTTTTTTTTTTTTTTCGATTTCGATTTCACACATCTCTCGTTTTAAACATCGCTTGTCAAGCAAACTTCCCGTTATCTGAACTGGACCGCTTGAAAATTTATACTGGCAGCTCTTTTACCTCTGATCCAAGTAGATATAGCCTAGACATCGCTATATAGATGTGCCTCTGCGTTTACTTGCACGAAAGTTTACATACAGTGTTCTGCCACTATATGCATCATTATACATATATATATATAACATTAAACTTTATACAATTCGTTTCAGAATTTTTAAATTATCAACTTCGAGATTCGCGTTAAATATAATGGATCCTTTTTTTTAAATTTTTTTTGTCTATGAACTTTTCTTCTTAAACGTACATAAATAAAAACGAAGAAACTCAAAGAAATATATTTTAACTTTTTAAACATTTAATCATTATCTGAATCTTATATAAATTCTCATTAAATCATTTCACAATAAAATATAAAAAAAAAAAAAAATATATCTCATTTCTTCTTTTATTTTCTTTGCTATGATCGCGCCTTCACGAGCCCTATTTTCTCTTCGATTTAGCGCTGCGTAGAAATGCATTTCAGTTTCGTTACATTCCGCGTTTTTAATTAAAAAAAAAAAAGTCTCATATCGGACGTCTCTTGGAAACGTTTTCTTAGAACTTTTCTGCTCGCCGCATTTGTTCTCGCCTGCACGACAATGAATAACATATATTTTTACTATACCGCTTGACCGTATCCTTCCACCATAGATGGTGCGTAATATGCTTCCCTTTGGACTTCAGGCCGATTGTAGCGATTAATCGTTGCAATTAGACCGCAGCAAATGAAACTTCAAAAACTATTATTATGGTGGATCACGAATCATAGCCGTTCGTTTCTATGTAAAATCCAACTCATCCCGTGATACATCGAGGCGCACGTTTGGCGCGTTTCGAAAAAAAAACTCTCGATCGTGAAATTGCGACGATTAATCGTCTCTACGATCGGACAAGAGAATCAAACTCGAGACAATAATTTCCTTGTCGTACATAATAGGCAGGAAACCGGCTGGCAGGATAATCGCGTCACCGGCTAATGAGCAACGAATTTAATTATCGCTCGAGGGATGCGAGACGACACCTGCTAATATTAGACGAATTTGGTGGCAAATTACGCCCACGCGAAACCATCAACTTCACCTAACAAATTAATCAATGCGTTACCACGGATTACCATTCGCAGATCCGTTGATGCAGGCCTCTCGTTTCACATATATCGTCGTATATATTCCTTCAACAACTTGAGCAATTGAACTTCAATTCTCAATTTTTTAATGTCTTGGCAAACGCAAGAATTTATGCGCGCGGATAAAATCCTTTCATCGCAAGAAAATCCTGCAATTTTTTCTTTTTTTTTTTTTTCTTTTTACGGTGGAAAGAGTCTAACCGTTTTTTGGAAAAAAAATCTAGCGTTGACCCACATTTTCGCCGCGATTACCACGATTTTACTAAATTCTGTTCTGGTCTGAAAATTATTCCCGTCTGGCCTATTTTCCATTGTCAACGCTACGTCACAAGTAATCGATGCTCCATAGTCCTGTGCGTATTGCGGTTGAAATGTCGAATCTGCGTAAAAATTCGATCGTTTTTTCGTGGAAAACAACGGAGAAACAACACTTGTGAAATATGAGCTCGGGTCATCAGATACGCTGAAACGTTATATCGTGTAATATCGCGTCTTTTACAAATGGTGTCCTTAATAATTATCGGTTCGATTCGGCGTCGACGATGAATTATCCTTTGCGATCTGTTATCTCTCTGTTTAAACACATTAAACGTCGCGTTTCGATGTAGCCATAGGAATACAAATCGTAATTCGAAATTTCGATCGATATCTATAACAACGATGTTTGTTTCCGTTTCAGTTTCAATTTCGAAATTTCATTTCTATTTTTTATTTCTATTTCGAAATTAAATTTGATTAAAAAAAGGAAATACGCGAAAATACAATGGGATATAAATGTTAACATTTTATTCCTATCTTAGATAATCGTTGATGATTAAACGCAAAGAATGTTTTATGAAGCGAAGCGATGAAAATAAATCTACTCTTCAGTGTGAATTAATTTATTTATATATATCGCGCGAAGGGAATATTATTGGAAATAATACCGCGGCGAAGAAATCTCTTATTTTTCTCGCTTCCTTTTCCACCCGCGTTCGCAAACTTTTACTTTCATCCAGACTTCTTTCAAATGGATCTGCATTTAACGGGAACGCGAGTTATTCCTCTGGTAGAAATGAGAACGTTAGCCCGTGGAGATAATTAATTCATAGCCACCGAGTCGAGTGACGCTTGAAAATGGAAGGGAGTTAAAGCGTGAGCGAGAAGGAGGCGGACTTATCAGTTTCAGTGCCGGCTATTGATATGCCCGGAAATCCCCTTGACAGTTTTCTGAGTTGAATTAAAGGCTATGAACATGGACGACCGAGAAAAGTCAACTGACGATAATATTACGTGACTCGCGTCAGTTCTCTGTATTTCAATTAAAAAAAAAAAAAAAAAAAAAGAAAAAAAGGAAAAAATCAATGAAAAATTTTTATTTAATGCACAACACACAAATTTTCATTTCGCGATTACTTTCGTTGGTCACTTTCTACCGTTTTTAATACAATTGAATGATCTTTAAATGTCAATACCCAACGACCTCTTCTTTTCCTTCCTTTTTTCTTTTAACCTTCGTTTTTTTTTTTTTTTTTTTTTTTT